TCCTTTATAAATAATTAAATCTGCAATTAAGAAATTAAATTGTTTACACACGAAGCATTCAGTTTAATAATCCTAATTTTATACATTTAAAATAAATTTCAGAAAATTTTCTCTACAAATTTGAAAAAGAAAAAAAACATGAATTATTATCCAAATATTAAAAATACACGTAAGGAAATAATCCCTCCAATTCCCTCAGCCGCGATAGAATAAAACAATTAATCATCCTCGAGGCTGATGAATGGAATATCGATTTATCGATCGACCTGGAAGACTCATCACAGTTTCCGCCATCGGTTTCCGATCGAGTTCGATTTCAGAAGCGTAGAAAGCCGGTATAAGTACCGGTGACGCTCCAGAACACGTACACGCCGCACTTTTTATTTCAATGTCAGTCAGTGAGAAAAGAGATCGAAGGAATTCCAGATTACGATTGGAAGCGGCACTAGGGGCCTAATTAAATCGCATAAACAGAGCGTGCCTGTCCAATCTGTTCCACGAGGCCATACGTTTCTGCGTGGTTTGAGGCATCGTGGTCGCCGTTTGACGCCTAGAATTATTCAGATCGTTTCTGTACAACGATGAGAGAGAAAAAAAAAAAGAACGAAAATATTTTTGTCGTTGACTTAATACAATGCGTAATAAATTAAGGATTATTAATTCGATTAGAATGAAAAATTTACTAGATAGAAGTTAATGATTGATCATTTCCATCTAATTGATATGATTCGAGAAGATTGGAAAACTAATTATAGATTTCGATATTGGAATAAAGAACAAATTATTTAAAAAAAAAATAAGATCGATCAATTTAATTCTTTTTAATTAATTAATTGTTCGAAAATTATTAAAAAAAAAATTGTATCATTAATTATCGAATACACATATCATCGTGTATTAGAATAATTTTTGTCCATTTGATGAGCATTCGAAATAATAGCCCTAATGCAAACCAACTGTAACACCCTTTAAAGTCCATCGAACGAGAAAGGGTCTGGCAAAGATCAGAGAAAACAGACGAGACGAAAATTAAAGTTCACAATAACGTGACCGACCCGTTGATTAAAAGCTTTTAACCCTTTCGATTGCGACTGGTTCCATTAATCCCTACTTAATAGATCTTCTTGCGATATATTAAAAGATGATCGTTGACACAATAGAAATAAGCCATCATTTTGAAAAGGATTCGATAAATTTAAGATTTTTTTTTCAATACAGAAATATATACATAACTGGTCGAAGTTAGAGAGGATTTAAAGAGATACATATAACTCTAAAGTGCGGTAATGCTCCGTTAGCGGTAATAAGATGGAAGTAATGAGTAACAGTTTTGGAGCGTGACCATTACAAACGTGTGTAGGTAAGTTACTTACGTGTGATGTGCTACAGAACGTTCTACTAATCAGAGAGTTAGTGCAGTAGAGGTATTCTCGCGAAATGCAAAATTACGAAAATTCGTGTGTTTTAAAGATCTTCTTAAGTTTCTTACAGAACTTGATTGATATAATTAATATTGTCAAAATTATATAATGTATCGAAATTATATACAATAAATTATATATTATTAATTATATTCGATATAATTTTACAGTTCTTTTTTTCATGTTGTTAAAGTATAAAGATTAAATGCGATTATAAATTGAAAAAAGTAAAGTCAATTAAATATGAACTGTATGATTCACAGGTTAAAAATTAACCTTAAAGAGATTCGTTCATTGTTACACCTGAGATCTCATACAATATTCTATCATTATTTATTTCATCATACTCTTATATTCTTCAATTTATAAATAAATTTTGATTTTTCTAATTTTTTTCAATTTTTTCTTTTTTTTTCAAATGTATATATTGTATCAAACATTTTACTAAAAGATGAAGACATTCTAATCTAATTAAACTATCCGATGAACAAAGAGGACAATCCAAGAAAATAATATGGATAAGTAGAACTTTTTTTCTTTTAAAATAATAAATCTAATTTAAAAGACATTTAAGTTTCGAAGATAATTCTTATCTATCGTTTCGTTAAATACAGACTGACTGAGTGTATTCTCAACAATCGAATGCTTTATCGATTTTCACTGTAAACCTGTTTATTATTATTTGCAGTGCTTTGTATGCAGCAGGCATTCCTGGAACGTGTAGATTCAAAGTCGTGACTTCGTTACTATACATGGTACTTTCATTGTAAATACACGTTCAACCCCTAAAATTTTAATCAATTTAAATAGTATTTCAAACTTGATGAAAAAAAAAATCACGAAAAGGAGAGAAGAAAAAAGAGAAAATTTCTTTCACCAGTCTAGTTTCCAATTTAGATATGTAGATTCGCGCTTATATGGCAAAGTTGACGATTTCAGAGAAAATATTATGCAATCGATAAATCGAAAGCCTTCGAGTAATTACATCGATTCCGAGAACACCGATTTCAACAGATCATGTGTTTAGTTATACACGCTAATGAAAATGTAACTTCTGTGAATCATCGAAAACAGCAATTGTATGCATATGCAATGCAACTATTGAATAGCTTTCGAAAGAAGACGGAGAAAGAAGTAATGAGATGATTAGAAATGTAAAAAAAAATTCGCTATAATCGAATTGTTCTCATCATAACGATAGTTTCGAATTATTTTTAATTCTTTTTTATTGTCAAACTTTCAATTTTTTTTTTTTTTTTGATATAGTTATATTATAATATACTACTGATCATCTTTCTTTCCATTTTTTCTGGTAATAATAAAAGAAACAAATACGATACGATTATACGTTTTATTCATTTACTATCATGTAAATATTAATGATGAAATTTGCCTGATCTGAACCAGTAAACCATTTTCTTAATCCTATTACTGCTTTTTTGCATATTATAACAGTAAATGTGAGAATTGACCTCTTAATCATTAAATATTAAAAATTAATTATTCATATCAACTTCATAACATTACGTAATAATACATATATTAATAAATTTATTTTATTCATAATTAATATTAATTTGTATTTCAAGTCCTATTTTATTTTATTATGCTTACGCAATTGTTTTATTATCAAGCATTTTATTTTTCGTTATTTTTTAATATATACCACTTATTAATTAATATCTATTCCACGCTTTAAAATAAGAAACCGTAATCAACTGCAATTACATTCCCGTAAGCAAATTAAAATCCGTTATAAGAAGATAACCATATAACAAAACATCATAAAAAATGTTAAAAACGAAATTTAATCAATTAACTAATAAAAAAATTTTTTTTCGAAACCAGATTAAAAAATAATTTTTTTGTTTCAATTTCAATAATAAATTTCAATTATACGGATTTCTCTACAGAGTATCGTGATTGGCAATTAGACACTATTTTACAAAATTAAATGTAAAATTGAAAAAAAATCTTGTCATTTAATGCATCGTTTTCGAAAAAACCTAGTGTGAAATCATTGACAACGATATTAAACGTGTTACGTCCAATTGACAAATGAAGGTTAGGTGTAAACATCTAATTACAGGAGACAAAATATGTGTGAATTCTTGTTACATCGTGTACTGTACAGTCGTCTATAGCGTGTAATGAAGTTCACGAAGGCAGGCCGTTGTCCGACGCCTTAGAAATTCTTTAATGACTTTATGTCGCACGACACATACGAATAAACGCAGTTTAAGCTTTGTATCTCCGTATTCTCGACTGTCGTCTTTTCACGATCTTGCCGCGCCACGGCGCGGCATGTTCACGGTCGAAGGAAAGCTGATCGCCCCGCTGTGGGAACCGGCATGGATGTTACCTTCGAATTATAACCTGATCGTGCATCTGTGTCGCGAGGAATCTTTTTATCCGACCTTTGAAAATTTTTATGAAAAAATTACTATCGATAAAAAAATTCGATAAAGAATTGTAGCAGTTGACTCGAGATTTTATAATTCGTATGAAATTATCGAAAATATAGTGAAGAAAGAATATTGAGGATAAAAATGTAAATATTGTATTCGGTAGGTATTGACTTCCTTTTCCTTGTGAAAAAGGATAGAAATAGATATTTCTATTTATACAAATTTCGTGTATGTAAATTCGAATGTAAACAAAGCATTCAGATTACATAGAATCAAGTCGAAATGCTTAAAAAATTAAAGCCGAAGCTTGAATTAATTGTTTTTCTTTTTTTTAATCTTATCTAAACTGTGTTATTTAAAGTTGACAAATCGTATCGAAACGTATAATAAGCCACGAACCGATGATAATTAATATCAATCAATGAGTAATTTTCACATTTAAAGAGGTAAATACTTGCCAACAATGAGTGTTAATAAAGTGTACGTAAGGCTTCAATTCAAATAACGGATAAACACGTGGGGACGAGACTACTACTTCTGTTCATTACAATCATCGTCAAACAGTTAGAATAAACAAGCTAATACAAGCATAAAGAACGACACTTGTCGTATCAATTGAAATATACGGATAATTTATTTTATATACGTACGATTTTTCATTAATCCCGTTCAGTTGGTAACTCTTCGTAATTCGTCTTCATTGCATTCAATTTTAAACATTTTATCACGCAAATAAAAAGAGTGATTGTCAATAAGATAATTCTTACTTATTGTTGCACTTTCACGATATGAAATATGTTATTATATCATTAATCGATTAATTACTTACGACTCAGACGCGAATATCGATCGAGTCGGAAAGAATCGAGAATCTCGCGATTCGTGTTACATCTCGTATATGACAACGATCCCAACGGTCGAAAGAGAACATTCTCAGATTCGCGATGAAATATTAACTTCATCTTAATCACAATTACACGTGACAAAATTAAGATAAGAATACAATCGATAATAATATAATGATATCATTTTACCAACTGTTTTTCCCACTTCGATTATTTTCTCGGGAATAAACGTAAACTAATCCCGTCACGCATCGTTCGCGTCTACCGAATCGACCGACATATGCTAATCACTGTGTACATGTACAATTCATAAAAAATTGCCTTACCTCACGAATCTTCGTGAACATTGCTCACTCTCGTTTTTTGATCCAGAGCTTCAGCCTCGCTATTGCTTCGATTCATCGAGGATAGGCGATAATGAGAATCGAAAAGACACCTGACATTCCGGGCGAACACACAACGATGCGCACAACAGACGCGTACTCGTCGATCATCCGATCGCAACTGCAGCCCTTCGGTGCCAGTGCCGGTTCTGTTGCTGCTGGCTGAGAGAAAGAGAGGGAGGGAAGCCACACCGCGAGAAAGCAAGACGGACGGATGTGAAAAAAAAAAGAGAGCGAGAAGGAGGTGTTATCGAGACGGACGAGCCTCCCGTTGCTGTTTCTCCAGTCGGCCACTCCGAACTGACGACCACTATTGTATATACTTCGTGTATACCGGCGTATAATACACTAAACGCCACACGAGACGCGAGTTTGACGAAGATCACTCTCGTTACGAACTACAAATTGAACAGAGACGAAAGATCTTTCTCACGTGAGTTCGAATTTACGAAGATATATTATCTTACGAAAGATTACATACGTTGCGAGGGAGGTTATCTTTCTTCGAATCGTATATTCTTTCTTTCTTTTTTCCTTTATTTTCGTAGTTTTCACAACCCGATTCCCTTCTCTTTTGTTCGTCAATCACCGGGAACGCCACGTGCAAATCGCCAATGCGTATACCGGCTCGGCAACCGTGCACTGTAAATACACGCAAAAATGTGCATGCGTGCAAGAGCGAAGGCGCGGCACGCATGCGCGGCACACGCACCCACTGCGTGCAATCCCCAGAGCAAGTACAAACACCACCCTCGGCCTGTGTCGGCGTTCTTCAACCCCCCACGACAATCCCCCTCCATTCAGCCCCACATTCACAGAGCAAATCCCCTCGACTACGAGGATACCTCCCGGCGAACCCCTTAATCAATACTCGCCGTTCTCTGCCGGCCAGGAATACCATCCTTCGTGTCCTCCTCCCTGGACCAATTTTCGGCATCGTCCACGGCGTTTATCGTTGCGCTTCGTAGCGGTGAGATAAATTCGATTCTTCGCTTTGCTCGCCCATTGTTCACGATGCACGAATATTGCACGATGAGAACTTTAATTTTCTTTTTTTTTTTTTTTTTTTTTGGTTAAAAACGAAGATCATCGATAAATGTATAACGTAAATGAAATCGTTAGAAAATTTTTTTACTCGCTTTTCGCAGAATCTTGCGAACAATCAATCGTTCTAGTTGATGGAATTTTATATAATGGTTTATTAATTTTTTTACGAAGCGAATGGATGAGGGAAATGCAATGCTCGCAGCAGGGATGTGGGGAGTTACAATTAAACGATAATGCAGTGTGCGTGAAGATAATTCCGAGGGCGCGATGGTTCCCCGAGGACTAACGCCACAATCCTACGAATTATTTTATTAGCCACGTTGCTTGGCGGAAGAAACCTCTTTTCATTCAGCAGCTGTACTCTTACTCGCACAGATGTATCGTAAAATATTATGGCGTATTCGAGACTAGAATAAGCGTGCAATGAAAACAATACTTTCATTACCAGATATAGGATACAGTTAGAATATTTTAATATGTAAATTTTTCTCATTGAAATTTAGATTTAAATGTATATCGTTCGATATATAACAATTTATCATCGAAAAAGATTATTCTCTTTAAAATGGAAAATATTGAAAATTTATAATTTTAAAAATCATATATGTGTAATTTCATTTAATATAAAAATTAATCGTAATATCCTGATTACGCAAAGGGTGCCGTAATCCACGAATTATTAGCCCTTTTTACAGAGAGTGCTAAGTATACTTGGGGGTTGAAAAACGTGTCTACAGTGCCGCGCCCAAGTATACTCATTTGTGTAGCAAGCGTTTAAAAAAGCTTTCAGCTTAGGATTTCGAGCGGTTTACCTCGTTTATCATTTATTATCGACGATAAATCTTCAATTTTATATATAGAAATAAATCCTTGGTCTAAAATGTGGTAATTGAAATTTTATTAAATTACAAGAAGCAAATATCTTTTTGAATAAATTTTACACATATATGTAATATTTATTATAATTGAAAAACCATTTATAAATTAATGTTGAAAAAAAATTTGTATTTCCTATATTATTAAACAAATTAAATTTCTAATCTTTAAATTTCTAATTTAATAAGAGAGATTATCAATAAATGTCGATAAATTCATGTCACGTTTTACGATAATAATTTCACAGTGGAAGATATTATTTTTATCTCGTAAGTTCAATTTAACCATCGAAATCACGAAATATGTCACGGAAGACGTCTTTACCAATTTCGCGTGTAACTCGCTTTTATTATCCGTATCTATATTTTACTTGTTTAGCTTTTCACGATAATATATTATCCAAAGAAATATAATATCTTGAATGAAATTCCCATGCAAAATAATATATAAATATGATTCTAGAGAAAAATTAAAATATTAGGATATATATATATATATTTTTTTTTATGGATAACGACAAAAGATTTTTGTAATAAATACATTTAAAATTGAAGAAATGATTTATCGGTACCAGGAACCACTATTGCCGTGTCTAAGAAGTTTGTCCTAAGCTCCACCGTGCACCGATTATTACATTTATCGATCATATTTCAGAATATTTTCGACATATTATTCTTGAGATCAATTTCATTCTAATCTTAATAAATTAGTTTTTATTTTATTATTATTATTTTATTTATTTATTTTTTCAATTCAAAATTTAAATTATACTTATAACATGATTGTCCTATTCTGATATTTGTAAGATATTGTTATCTATTACATAACAATTTATTTTCAATATTTCTTATGGAGTTTATATTTAAATATATATAAGATATATATAAAATACATACATCATCTTACATTTGAAATGTAAGATTGTTAAATTTATCCAATATAACAATTTCATTTAATATTGTACATTTTACATAAATAGAATCATATATATTTTATTTCAATGCAAAAAAAATATTTGATAGGTACAATATTATTTGATTATTCAAAATCACGAACTTTGGAATGGATTAAAAAAAATCTATTCCGAATTTAAAAAAAAAAAAATCGGGACAAAAGCATATCTATAATAATTATAGATTACATAATAATTATGGATTGCAAAAATTATTCTAATAGAAATGAATTTAGGAATGATTTTGTAGAAGTCTTTAATATGACTAATATATACGAATCGAATAAAATGAATATTTATAATTAATACGAATAATATAACTATGATAAATAAAAATTGGATTAAATGTACTTTATTGAAATCAACAAAAAAATATGCAAAAATGTCAATAAAAGTTAATCAAAATTCTCTTTTAAAAAGATAAATTTTTATAATAAATATAAAAAGAACAAATAGCAGAAAAAGAATAAAAATAAGGTAAAAATTAGGGAATCAGTGCCATCTCTAGAGTGTCGCAGATGAAATATATATAGACAAAGAGAGTAAATAATACGAAAAGGATAGAAATAGAATTAGAATTGACTGATGCTGCCATCTTGCGAGCTATTTTTTAAATATTTTTATCACAGACAAAGACTAGTCCTTTTTTTTTTAAGAGAGATGGCACTGATGGTAAATTCTTATTTTATCTTGTTTCCTTCTTTATTATTCCTTCTCTTTGTCTATATGTTTTATCAACAATACTCTAGATGGCACTAATTTCCTAATTTTTAGCTTATCTTTATCTTTCTCCATTATTTATTTTCCTTGTTTATACTTTTGGCGCGTACTTACGGATAATTTTATTAAATATATAAAATTTGTGTAAAATAAATTTAATATATCACAGAATTATAAAAACATAATTTTAATAATCACTTTTACAATTTTATCTTTTATAAATATTAATTTTTTTTAATAATATATTAAGGTTAGAAAAATTTGCACACGTGCTATTTTAGCTAAAGTTATAAATTTTATTTAAATTTTTAAATAAAAATTTAAGTTCTTTATGTTAATTCTAACTTTTTTATTTATGTCATATTATATCAATAAAAAATTTATAAAAATGGCACTAAATGATACTAATAATTCGGAAATCAATTCTAAATGGTAAGAACGTTTGAACTATTTTAACATTTACTAATTTAAATTAAATAATTATTTAATCAATATAACATAACATAATATCTTCATATAACATATAATTTCATACCTTTATAGTTTAATAAAGATAGTGGTAAAAGAGAAAATTATATAGATTGGGAAGATTATTTTATGGCTATAGCTTTTTTAAGTGCAAAACGTAGCAAAGATCCTCGTACTCAGGTTGGTGCATGTATTGTGAATGAAGACAAACAAATTGTAGGTATTGGATATAATGGAATGCCTAAAGGTTGTAATGATGATGAATTTTCTTGGTGCAAAAATTCCAATGATGATTCATTAAAAAATAAATCTTTATATGGTATCATGATAACACTTTGTAATTTATTGTTATATATGTCTATATAATTTAATATTGTATGATAATGATAATATGAAATTTGCAGTATGTCATGCTGAAGTTAATGCTATTTTAAATAAGAATTGTAGCAGTGTTAAAAATTGTACCATTTATGTTGCACTGTTTCCATGTAATGAATGTGCTAAAGTAATAATACAATCTGGAATAAAATTAGTTAAATATGTTTCGGATAAACATGCAACAAAGAAAAAAACTATTGCTGCAAAAAAAAATGTTTGATGCAGCAGGTATTACATACAGGTATTTTAGTTATTTGGATTATATATTTATTTTTATATTTATATTGAACTTGTCAAAAATATAAGAAACCATATAAGAATTTACTGATACTTAAAGTAATTTATTTTTTTAAATTTGTATTTCCTAAAATTAAAATTTTTAGTCTTTGACAATATTTAACATATGTTTTCTATTATGCGTCTTTAAATTTATTAACAATATAAATTTTCTTTTTTAAGCCAATATTGTCCAAAAAACAAACAGATAATAATTGATTTCACTGAAATAGATAGTAACAATGAAAATAATTAACAAATTTTCATGAAAATAATGTAAGTATAGTATAATATGTATAGTAATGATAAAGTCTATAATGAAAAATTTTTTTATATATGTATTTATGTTTTATTTTATTTTTTTCATGACATTTTGCAGGTTTAAATTTGTAAACAATATTAATTGTTTGGTAACACAAACATGGCATAGTTTTACTGAATATTTTTACTGAAAAATTATGGTTACCAATATTTACAAATAAAATTGAATTAGGTACAGACGGAAAGTAAGAATATCTCTACTTATTTTAAATTTTTACAAGTCTATTTTTACCTTTAACATTAATTATATAATATTATGGAAAATAAATAAAACAATGTACAGAAAGTGAAAGAACTTTAGCAATAATACAAAGATACTATGCAGTGTTATCAAGATAATATTATTTGCAACTATATTGCAAACAATATACTGTACAAGTGTAAACAGTGATACGATAAAGTATGGCATGATAAAAACATGTAACAAGTATCTATCATTTCTTTGAAATGATAAAATGATCTCAATATTCTTTACAAAACAACTGAAGGAAGGGCGATTGTTGATAATATTTTTTTGTTGACTCGTTATTAATATAACAACAAACAGAAATTGAACATAGAGTTTTGACATATATGATAATGATAATACGTCTATGTACATACTATACATATCCATGTTTTTGTCTTTAAAATATTATTTCACTTACGTTTGTAGTCACAACTATGGAGTAAAGTTACATAAAGAAAGTAATTATACATGGTGATTGAATTCATCATATAGAAAAATATTTAATTAATATTATGAAAATGTATAGAAATTTTATAAAGAGACAAAAATATTAATATTGTAAAAAACATATTTAACATTATATGTATTATCTTTTAGGAATATATTATTTGAGCTTCTTTCGCATATATTACTCAATGAATTATACAGTGTATAAATAGCAATTGCAGAAAATATAATAGTAAATTTCCGTATAATGCGAGGTACCATAATATATCAAAGATATTACGATTACTATTTTCATATAACGCGATTCCTCGTACAATGCGATATGTACATGTTTTTTTTTAATCAATAGCATATATATACTATTCATTAAAACTATTTGATAAAAGAGAAAATAAAAAGAATATAGAAAATAAAGATTGATATGACAATAATCATTCTAAATATGTTACTTTATATTATTCGTATTATACGAGACAAATTCTTGTATAGCACGATTTTTTATAACGCAAATTTATACAATCGCGTTATACGGAAGTTTACTGTAATAGCTTATTGCAAATGGCAGTATTATATTAGTAAATGTACAATGATTAAAATAATAAATAATCGCAATTTATATGTTATTATTAATTTGCTCGATTTTCAAATCCTTTTAATTAGTAACAGGTCATCTTAGAAGTTACGTATATGTTATAAACTTTATATAAAATCTATATGATGAATTCATTTACATGAGGAGATGGAAGAGGATGTGAGTTGAGGTATCCATGCACTTATTATTTGCTCGTTTGATTAAATAAAGGACTTAAAGGCAAATTTGAACTGAAACCTTTTAAAGATTGATATACCATCCTTAATCAACATTATTTATTTCTTAAAGATTTGATAATTAGTTTTACGAGCGAAATAGAAATTTTTATATCGAGGTAACAACCTCCGGTAAAGATTGGAGCAACTAATATATATATATACACATTATCTTTCCAAAATTTAGTAATTATGCATGAATTTAAGCGTAAAATGTAAATAATATAATTTAAAAAAAAAAATAGTATTAAAAGATAAAAACGCTTCGGTAGATGCATGGTCAAAAAGTTGTAATGTATGATAGAGTGATGTATGATAATGTGCATTATTTTTTCTAATGTAAATTGTTTACATTTCGTATATCGATAGACTAGTATAGTAATCATATATTTTATTTGCATTGTACAATAATTAAATGACTAATGGCAAAGTGAATGAATAAAACATCTACATTATCGCTTATGTTACGATATTATTTACGTAGCCCTGAGAAACATTCCATGCATTTACAGAAGGTATGAATTTAAACAATATAATCATGTTCATTATACTTTGATAGAAGATTATTCCATCGATTAATTTTGCATGTAGTGAAATTTTATTCGGCATGTTTTAGGAGCAAATTGAAATATTAAATATATATTACTATGAATATCGCTTGATGCAAATATCTTATTTTTATGATTACCATTAAGATGATATTTAGTGAGCTTTCAACACTGCCATATTATTATATTAACTAATCGCAAAATTATATTCTATGACTTAAATAAAATAGGAAGTGTGGTATGTATATTTATATATATATATTGTTAACGTAATAGTTGAAATATATACAAACATTATCACTAGTTTGTAATATCTGCATTTTGTTGAACTTTTTTCATTTTCATTCAAGGAAACTCACAACTTATAAGTATATATTGGCATTTTGAAAAATAAACAAGGCAATCATAACATCATTCGATTTATATCTGTAAATTTAAACATTATCTTTTATTAAAATTTTTGTGTATCTGATCACATACAGATATATGTTTTTTTATTCTGTTTGTTTGTTTTGCTATTGACACTTATTTTTCAATTTATCATATACTTTGGTAATTTGCGTATACAATACGCACTTTTATCGTTCTTATAATAAGTTTCGTACAGAGACTTTCGCAAATGGACATTACTTCCATATTGACTGTTCTCTCGATGGAATATCAGGGCTCCAATCCAAACGTAGATTATTACCCTGGTTTTAAACATAGGAATAAAATGATATTTCTAGAAGGAAAACGGTAGATTGTATTTGTTCACTTGACAAATTTGAACGGTTTTTACGAATGAAGTGAACCAGACAAATTACGTGACTTGGAACAAAGTCTATTCTCAAAAAGTAGCGTCGAACATATGTGGTACAATTATCGGTGCTCAATGATCGTCTAGTTTTCAAACTCTACATAGTAGAGTATTTTATGTAGACATCGCTGAAAATAGTACACCTTAACATCAAGTAGAAATATTCATAGAGCGCGCATATGAATGTATACAAGTCTTGTATTTTGTACCAATGTGTTAGTTTACGCACGTCATATATTTTACACACTGTACTCCACCCCATTCCTCACCACCCTGCCCCAATCCCATCCGTGCACTAAACATTTTCACACTTTGTCAATCCTTCTTAACGTGAACATTCTGTCGATAGAACGCTCATTTAATTCGTTCTGTACCAATTGTTAATTAATATTTAGCTAAAGCCATTCTTTTCTTCGTTCACCTAAAATTCGGGACCGCTTCAGAGGCGTTTGTCTCTTGTGCCCCATCATGTTATAATTTATTATTAAAGACTGTTTATCCAGCACTGTTCACACTACATGAAACGTTCCAGGAACAGTTCGTGTATAATACATGTTTAATAATTATTAATATTAAATCCGCCAATTTCGTTTCTTCTTTCACTATATATGTTCATCGTTCAAGTTCGTTTTTTTTTTTTTTTATTTAATTTAATTTTCGTTCTTTTCTTTTTTTCTTTTTTTTTTTTTTTTTTTTTTTCTTTTT